ATATATATATATATATATATATATATATATATATATATATAAGAACATTATTTTGCATGAGCCAGTTTAAACCTACTCCTAGGGACTTAACGTTTGCATATACGAGAATAAAACAGATGTGAAACAAGCTCTAAAAACCCATCAGCGTCTCCACGACTCAAAAGTTCTACAGCGGCAGGACAAATAATAAAACCGTCTTTAAGAAAAATAGTCTCTTAAAAAGAAACAACCTTTTTTTTGATCTTTGCCCCTAAGATGGCATAAACAACAAAAACAAAAAAAATCACTGACATTTTCACAAGGACAAACAACAAACTCATCACATTAAGTCCAAAATATATATACAGCAAGAGTCACAGCACAAAGTTAAGAAACAAATCACAACATGAAAAATGTATTTGTTTAATCACTGCTATAGGAGGAAGAGGGGGGTATTCCTTAATCCTGTGGGTTATTCCTGAGTTTTATAAAAGGGCTCATCTCTTCGAGCCAGTATATTTAGGGGTGTCTGAGGAAAACTTTGGTATTTCTGCAAAAGGTTGATGAGCTGGAAACAATTAGCCCCAGCGAAAACTGAAAAATAAATCCAGATGCTGCACAGGAGTACAGAACAGTGCAAACTTATTTGGTGGCAGGTTGTAATAGAATTTGTTTTATAGCAATCTTTAACACGCCTGACCTGATCTTCAACATCCCTGACCAAAAGACTCATCAGCTATAAGAAGCCCGATCTAAAATCTAAATATCCCTTAAATATAAATAACATTTTTTTCCTTATAACAACTACTAAAACAATGAGAACGCATTGCGCTCGATCTGTCAAAACGTACTTTACAAAAATGTTCAGAAAGAAACAGAACAGAACAATAACCACTGAGCGTAAACGTTTTTTTTGTTTGTTTCCAACCTATTCTTATGAATGGTTTTTATTGCTTTCAGTGAAACCTTGGATCAGTTACACTACTGGTATTTTGTCACAAACCTAGCACAGTGCATAACATTTACACACAAACATGATCAGGTCTCACAAGTTTTAAAACATCACACGTTATCTGTTTGGAAAAGGCTGGAAATGGATCGTTTGAAATCTGCTAAACGCACCTCAAACCTGTGAATGCAGAGATGAATATTTTTAGTCAAAGGGCTCTGACGAAGATGCTTTTCATTGGTAATAGAGACTAAGAACTATTCGATTACCGTGGTAATCCAAAAGACGCGTGCACACGATCAGACAAAAACACCCAAAAGATTCCTGAAGTAAAAAAAACCAAACAAACAAGACAACAGAAGATGCAGCATAAAAACACAATGTAAAATATGGGTTTGATGGCAGATAGTATTTGTACGTATGCTGCTTGGACATGTACCACTGAGCAAAAACTGGAAAATATGGCTAAATCTGAAGAAATAATAAAAGCAACAAATACACAGAGGATCCAACCACCACGAGACAACACAAACAGAGGGACACCAGCAGAACGAGGACGTCTGTGATTGTAGTGTCATAGATACTCTCTGGACATCACATTTGGGCTGGTTGTTGTTCACACCCCCTCCCTCATGTTAACCGCCTTTCTGACATCCAGACCAACCGTTAAGAAGCTAGTTCTCTGCTCAGATTATTAATGTTTAATCTGATCCTAAGTGCACAGAAGATAGTGCCAGCATTTGATGGCAGAAAAGTAGGCGTCCTTGCAAAAGCCCAAACCAGCATCATGTAACATAAACACCAGCGGACAGACTCCCTCAATGGATAAATACAAATATACCTTTGTTTTAAATTAAAAAATAAAACTCAAAGAGTAAAAATCTATACATTAGGCTACAGAGACTCTAAAGACTGCATTTATAGGTTTCTCCGAAGGCACTGTTTGCAACAGCAGACTGGTCTTCCTCTCCATTAGTTCCTCGTACGAGCAGAGGGCGAACTGAGAGGGACGCACGTGGAGGCAAACTGAAAGTTGAGGCATTTTATGGCTGATCAGCTAAAAGATTTCATCTTTATTTATATACTCTCCCTCTTTTCCATTTAAAATCTATCTTTTGTTTCACTCAAACCATGCCTTGCATACACTTATTCTTTTTTTTTTTTTTAAGCTAAGACAAACAAGAAGAGCTTCTAGCGAATTCGCCGATCTCACCTCGTACAAGTCAGCAGCGGGAGGTTTGTTAAAAGATTTTCACACAAAGTAGTTACCGCAGGTTATTTTTCCAACTTCCTTTTTTATAACTTTTGAAACAGCTGCCTTTTTTTTAAATATATTTTACGGTAGAGGGCACACTTTGGTGCAAAAATCTGACATTAAACCAGAAAAATCGGCGAATGCTAAAGGTGGATAGAGAGAAGGAGCAGGCAGTGACTTGACTATCGGCCCTGAGGGGAGGACGGGGGAATAGGTCCAAATGGGGTGACGTGATGCAAACTACTCTGAAAGACTTAACAAAATGCCAAAAACCTGACAAAGTCTAAACCATGTGTAACTGCTGAGGCTCTTAGTCCTGCTGAGGGTACTGGATGACAGACTTGCGGTCTTGCCCGGCCTGCAGCATGCTGTTCAAGGCCTCGCGGACGTCCAGAGCGCCAGAGCTGCAGTGGCCGTTGGTTAGAGAAACGGAGTCGGACTGTGGCAGGAGGTAGGGCGCAGGGAACGAACTGGAAAAGAGCGAGGAGGAGGAGGAAGAGGAGGAAGGGGATGAGGAAGGGATGGAGAAGAGCGAAACCGGGTTGTTTGGCAGGGACGAGGTGGTGCTTGTGGAGGAAGAGCAGGAGGAGGTTGAGGATGAAGGGTTGGCTTTCTGTGTGGGCATGTGGGGAGACAGCGCCAAGCCGAGTATCTCTAGTAAGTCTTGATCGTGGTTGGTGGGTAGAAGGTTGTGGTTCTGCTGCTGGGGAGCCGGATGATGGTGCTGCTGGAGCATCAAAGGCTGCTGTGTCTGTGCAGGGTGCTGGGGGTCGGGGACGGTCACGGGGAACAGAGCCAAGTTAAAGTCCGGCAGGGTGTCCAGGCTCGGCCCAGCCTCTGTGCTGTCTGTGGAGGGAGACGGCGAGCTCATGGTCAGGTCCAAAATCTCATTCAGGGGATTACTGGAAGACAAGTCGGGAGACGGCGCCGTCTGGTGGAGCTGGAGAGGCGTGCTCTTGGATAAATGATACGACGGTAAGAAGGGCTGGTTGTAGAACTGAGAGAACCTGTGGCTCACGGTTTTGGGCAGAGCCACCTGGTTGTTGGTGCTAGAGGAGGTGGAGCTGCTGGGCCAGCCATTGTGGGTCCTGGTTTGGTTCCTCTGTAGGGGAAACAGAGACAAACTGTAGGGGGGCTGCTGCAGAGCAGACTGGATTTGGGCCTCTAGCTGGGACATGCTCCCGTTCTGAGTCCTCTGCAAAGCATTCTGGTTCGGGTTCTGTTTGAAAACGTGGCTCGGATTCTGGACGAGGAAGTGGTTGAGGACGGGGTTCTGGTTTTCCGGAAGGCGCTTGTTCTCCTGCTCTATCTGACGCATGCGCTCCTGCTGCTGCTTCTCCTTACGCCTCTTCTTCACCTCCTCGTCCATTAGCAGCAGCTCCTCACGCACACGGGTCACGCAGGCCTCTGGGATCTTGATACCTGAGGTGGGGGTAGGAGGAGAGGGGTCAAAGGTCACTCCTCAGACGTAAACTCAAACACCTAAAACAGGATCAATTACAGGCTGTTTAACGCCCATCACCAAGAGGCATGAGGCTGGTACTGCCTGTGCACGTTTGTTTGACAAAATATTTCACCAACAGCTGGACAGATGTTAATGATCTCTCAGAACACTTTTACTGAATCAACCTCTACAGCTGCTTATTTTTTGGAGTCAGTCCAATTAAAGTTGGCCACCAAATCTTATCAACGTTAGTCGGTTTTACAGATATTGAGCTATAACATAGGGTGGTAGTAGCTGAGAGTCCTCTTCAACACATACTCTGAGCACTAACTGATCCCACAACATCTTGCAATATCTTGTAAGACCACATAAAGCAGTTAAACACATGCACGTTTTACATTAAAAAAAAAAAGCATTTTCACATTTTAAATGTGCTCTGGAAATAAATACGATTTTATTTAAGATTTATTTATTTAAGAGTACACTTCTATACAGCACTGTACTGCTTTGTCATGAATGTTGTGCTAATGTGCTTTGTACTTTTTACAGCTTCACAAGTGTCAGCATTCATGTTTCAACGATTGTCCACTTTAATATTACTCATATAATTGGGACCGTACAGATAAAAAGTAAAAAAAACAACAACAACAACTTTGGACAGGCATCGCCATTTTGTAGTTTTCTTTCAATGAGCCTAAACTGCACTACCCAGAAGCCAACAGTGCTTCTGACTGCTGCTTTCTGTTGAAATGGAGGGCAAGTTTTGATCCGATCCAAACCTGATTAAAAAGTTTGGTCCTTATTCATAGTGATTTTGGCGCTCAGTGGATGCAGAGAGTCGATCAGAACCAGACCAGAACCGGACCAGAACTACTTCCAGCCTCATTGGTCAATCTGCGTGCTGCTTGCCGGCCCATGAAGCCTCTCGAGCGGGGAGGCGTTGCTTGAAGGTCCAGTGTCTTCTCCAGAGCTCACCCAGACTTTTTTCATCTGGATTCTTCTGGATTATTTGGACTCGACTGGGACCATTGTGTGGTTTTGTGCTGGATCTCCGAAGGTCCGGCTCTCTCCAAAAGCGTCTGGTGCTCAACGGCTGCAGAGAGCTGATCAGAACCGGACCAGAACCGGACCAAGGCTGGTGAGTCCCCATATAAAATTTTGTAGTACTGTACAGTACGGTATGTATGTTTTTAAATTGATGTAGGTTTAAGAGGTTAGAACATTGCAAGAGTGTGGGAAGAGTTTATAAAGCCTTAAAATAAATAATAGTATTAATAAATACTAAAATAAATATAACGTTCCTACTTAGCAGTTTTTCACCTATCACGGGGGTGTGTGAAACATAACCCTCACTATAATCGAGGGACTACAGTACAGAGTTTAAAAAAGATATATGACAGATTAATGGATTGCCAATGATGAATCATCACTGACATCCTAATCTTTGAATATCAAAACAATTGTCATTTTAAAACTTGAGCTTGTCGAGGGGTTGTTTGGAAAAAAAAAGATAAAAACCCGAAAACAAAGCCAGCTTGTACTAACCGACTTGCTTGTTGCGCTGCTTCGTTTTGAGGCGGACAATCTGCAGGATGCTGGAGTTGGTGATGTCAGACACCACGTCGGACACTCGCTTCCACACCCGTAACAACGCCCCACACAGCATGTGATACTGACGGAGACGCATGCCCTGCAGACACTCCTGGCCCTCTTCGATTTTCTTACACTTCCCATTCCTGCAGAAGGTGCAGAGGAAATATTCAGATGTTAAATTAGCTCAAAGTCCGTTTCACAAACGCTTTACGTCAGATTGAAAAACGTTCAATCACAGAAACAGCTTATGTTTTTCCAGTTTAGGCACAAACGCCCCCTGAGCGTTGAAGCACGCGCACTGAATGCTTGTAAGCACAAGCCCGACTGGAGCCTGATGGGTTTTTCAAACCAGACCCGAGCCAGTAACCCTCAGGGATGATGTGGATTTCTACTTACCAGTTGGCGTGACTACACTTCTTTAAAGAGAAGGTGAACTGGTTCTCCCAGCTGTCTTTAGCTTCCTCTGAAGTAACCTGAAATAACAACAGAATTATCAACTGTAAACTCATCACATCTACATTTGATTAAAACACAAATGTGTCATTACACATTAACGTCCACAAGGGGGCAGCAAAGCTCCCTATGTCCAATGAAACATGAACTTCGACCTCAAACAACCATATCACAGCAGAATAAGTCTCGTCTTCTATAAATGTATTCTCAAAGTTAGCTTATTGGCAAAAAGAAAAATCATTTAAAGCTTCTACCTTTCTGTATCTCTGCAGCAGGTTGTTGAGGCTCTCAGGCTGCGTCTGCTTGCCAATGTTGGGCTTGTAGATGTTGAAGTTCTTACCTCGTCCCTGCTCAGCAAGTAGCACACAGGGACTGTTCCCTCGCAGCTGTAAAAGAAAAACAGAGTTTCAGCATTGCATTTCTCATTTTCTACACACAGCCTGGACTGATTTAGGTGGACTCACCTTATAGGACAGGTAGAACCCCTCATCAGAAGCGCTAAGCTTCAGGGACTTGCTGTAGGCCTCTTCCCAGGGCATACCTCTGTCTACCGTGATCTGCAGGGCACAGAGATAGTCACACTTGTAGTCAAAAGTAAACCATATTCCAGTCCTAAGGGATTTTGTCACACCATTCTGTATTATCTAATAGTGCTGAGAAGATCCGACTGGCTGACCATAAAAGTTCAACCACGCCCTCTGAACTTGTAAAGTGTTCTCTGTGTGCAGAAGTCTTTGCCTGTCAACTGAAATGTCAAGTGCTGGCTCGCCTGCTGCAGGCAGCTAAAATATAAATATACCAGCAATATTTATATCATGATAACTATGTCATTTAGCATATATTTGTATGCTAAATTAAAAAAAGATATAAGATGTTGAGTTTAGTGTTTCATTGCAAAAAACGGCATGACTAAAATTAAAGGTCAGGTAGCGCAGCAGCAAAAAATAAAAAAATAAATAAATACAAACGTAGATGATATGATGAAATGTTGCATATGATTTACTTTATGTTTCACTAGACAAGAGCCATCTGACAGAGACTTCTAAGTCTGTCTCGCTTCTCTGAAGCAAAGTGGTTGGAAACTGTGTCGAAGGTTGTGTTAGCATCTCTGCAGCCACGTGACGATGACGTTTGAGGCTGTATTATCACAAGACACCAGACGCGAGGCGGATGATTCAAATCTGACTTCAGTTGTTCCCACAAAACTATTGTTATTGTTTAACTTCAATATTTTATGGTTAGGTGTTACATTACAATCACTTTCTAATAATTCATTCAACCTTTATTTATACAGGTTAATCCCATTGAGCCTCGGGGACTCATTTACTACTACTAATAATAACACTTTATTTATAAAGCCCTTTAAAACAACCACAGCTGCAACAAAGTGCTGTACATGTAAAATCATGAACATTTAAACACATAAAACAGTTGTTAAAAACATTAAGATCAATAAAAATAATAAAAACAGCTATTGCAGAACAAATTCAGTGTGTGCTAAAAGCCAGGGAGTAAAAATGTGTTTTAAAAAGCGTTTTAAAACTGGACAGTGAAGAGGCTCGTCTGATGGGAAGAGGGAGATCGTTCCACAGTCTTGGAGCAGCAACAGAAAAAGCTCTGTCCCCTCTGAGCCTCCGCTTAGACCTCGGCACCTCCAGGAGCAGCTGATCAGCTGATCTGAGGCACCGAGCAGGAGAGTATGGGTGAAGCAGCTCAGAGAGGTAGGATGGAGCAAGACCATTTAAACTTTTAAAAACAAATAAAAGAATCTTAAAATGAACTCTAAAATGAACGGGCAGCCAGTGGAGTGAAGCCAGAGTGGGGGTGATGTGCTCCCTTTTTTGAACTCCAGTTAGAAGCCGAGCAGCAGCGTTCTGGACCAACTGGAGGCGTCTGAGGGAGGACTGGCTGACTCCAAGGTAAAGAGCGTTGCAGTAATCCAGCCGAGAGGTGACGAAGACATGGATTACTGTTTCCAGCTGCTGTTTTGTGAGGATGGGCTTTACCTTAGCCAGCTGTCTGAGGTGATAAAAACTGGTCTTGACCACCGCTCCAATCTGGGACTCTAATTTAAAATCACTGCACATTTTAAAACCCAAGTTAGAAACAGTTTTCTTTACATGTGGTGCCAGAGGGCCCAGATCAACAGGGCAAGGTTCACAGGAGCCACTAGGACCAAACACCATCACTTCTGTTTTCTTTTCATTGAAATTTAAAACATTTAAAGACATCCAGGCTTTGAAGTCTTCAAGACACAACAGAAGTGGCCTAATTGAGGGGGCATCTTTCTTTTTTAGTGGCATATAGATCTGATTATCGTCAGCGTAAAAGGATTTTGTTACTTTTAATGTTAGCTGAGGCTAGATCAAAGCCACGTTTATCAAAAAGTTAACCATGAGCATCAAAAAGCTAGTCAGAAGCTAAACATAGAAGAAAGGTAGCTAAACAATAAAAGTAGACAAAATCAGAACAAGTATGCAGGAGCTCGGGCAGCACGGTGGTGCAGTTGGAAGAGCTGCCGCCTCTCAGTGAGAATGTTGTCCCAGTTCAAATCCCGGCTGGGGGCCTTTCTGGGTGGAGTTTGCATGTTCTCTCCGTGCATGCGTGGGTTTTCTCCGGGTACTCCAGTTTCCTCCCACAGACCAAAAACATGCATGTTAGGCTGATTGGTGACTCTAAATTGTCTGTAGGTGTGAGTGAGAGAGTGAATGGTTGTTTGTCTCATTTGTCTCTATGTGTCCCTGTGATGGACTGGAGACCTGTCCAGGGTGTACCCTGCCTTTCACACAGTGACTGCTGGACATGGGCACCAGTGACCCCCGCGACCCGAAAAGGAAGAAGCGGGTAAAGATAATGGATGGATGGATGCTGGAGCTCATGTAAAAAGAACAATGTGTTTCTATGGAGGAAATAACTGTTAATAAAGTTAAATGTTTTGAAAAGTTACAAGCATCCATCTTCTGAGCGAACTGAGCTTTTGAAACACTAACTTCTCAAATGGCACAAAGCATTCAGAAGAAGTTACAAAAAGCGTGTAGAAAAATAAAAAAACGTGTAAAACGAGAGAGTGCGCACGCAATCAGAGTGCGCACGTTTGTGTCTACACTAACAGTCTCACAGCTGATGACAGGTTCTTCACTGAGCTACAGCCGAGAGGAGCCGACGCAGTGCTTACCTTATAAAGAACAACCTGCCCGTCTTGAGGGTTTCCAGCCGTCAAGAACGTTTCCTGCCTCTCCTCATAAATCTCATCATTACCAGGAGCAAGATCTGAAAGGGACAAGAAAGCAAACAGATCAGCACCAATCACCTTTAATAAAAACAAATGGTAAATGCCTATGATATAAACAGTTTGTGTTGTATAACTAAAAAACAAGAGCTTCAAACATCCATACCCAGGATTCCCATGTCATATTTGCCCTCCTTCTTGTCCTTCTCGATCAGGTAGTCAAAGTTATCTGTAAAGTACTGGAAGAGATAGTTCTGCTTGTGGACCTCCAGGCCCAGGATGCGATTTAGGAACTTAGTGATACTGCAGTCTGAGACACAAGAGACAGCACACGGTTTAAAGCCGAACACACTAAATGTCATTTTATTCATACAAAGAATCAGGATCTGACCCTCTGTACCTTTTTCAGTGCTGATCCCAAAGCGAGGCTCTTTACAAATAATGCCCACATGGATCATTCCAATTTTTATCTCTGAAAATAAAGCATAATAAAGGCGTTTTACTGGTTTAACTCCGGTAAATGGTGCAGATGGTCCCTGTTTAGAAACATGCAATCAGTGCTCAGAGGTACCTTGAAAGAATCGGGCATCCCCACCAGGGTATCCTTTGGGAGGGGGCACCTTGTTCTCTATGTGGCCAAGAATTGCTTTAGTAACTTTATCTAGAGCCTTGGTTCCATACTGAAAGAAAAACAAAATCACAACTGTTATGAACAACCCATTTTTAATATTTGATGCATAGTTTTTCAACATAAAATCTTCCTGGATGTGCCCACCTTGTTCTCAAAATTGTACTTGCTCAGATCTCTTGATTCAGTGGCTCGTCTGTCTCCATGAGTCAGCGCACCCTGCAGTGGGTCAACAACAGGATCATTTTTAGTGGTCTGTACTTATATAGCACCTTTCAATCTTATCAAGATACGCAAAACTCATTACAACACAACCTGTGTCCTCAGATTCATACAGCACTCTACTATATTTATACAAGGAATAATCAGAGCTTTATGACATGCATACACCGATGGTTCACACATTGGAGGCAATGGGGGGGGGGGTCAATGTCTTACCCAGGGATGCTTCAGTATGTGACTGTTGGTGGAATTGAACCCCCAACTCTTGCAATGGAGGACGACTGCTCTAACCACTCAGCCACAGCCACCCCAATTAGTATCAGCACAAACAAAAAAAGACTGCCTGTTGTCATTTTGTAAGACTATCAGCTACTCAAAAGTGAATTTAGAGACAAAACTTAGTGCAACAGCTGAAGGAAATTTTAGATAATTCAAAATTCAAAGAGGAAACCAGCTGCTGGAAAGGAAAAAGCAATACAAGGGATAGAAAAACATCTTTCAGTCCTGATCCGCTCGTTCCAAAGGCTGTTCATCTGTTCTGACTGGGTTTTATAAAGTTGAATCAGGCAGCCAGATGAGACAAAACCTACTCTTGACATATTTACCACACGCAGTTGGCAAACGCAGGAACAACTTCCTGGAACCCCCATCCCCCCACACTCTTCTCGCCCTTTCCCCCAAAAGAAAACAAATGTCATGCTACGTCACCATGGAAACAGATGACTGCCAGAGCAGAAATACACTGATAATGATGGAAAATTACTGCAGTCTTATAAATCATTCAGACACGCTCTTTTGCTTTATTTTGTGCTTTTAGGATAGAGAAATAAAAAAAGGCAGAATGTTTTGAGGTTTTGTGGGAAAAGTTCAAGAAAAGATCCTCCAGGGAACAGGAAGGACAGACAAAAGGCAGCACAGCTACAGTAAATAAACACTAACTATTGTTTACAGTAAACCAACTCTTCACACGCCACACAATATGAGAAGATATGAAGGATAACTGTCCCCTGAAGCAGAGTTCATTCTCTTAAAAGGAACTAGAGAAACTGCATTTCCTGTGAAAATAGAGAGTGGATGCTTATTGTTGAAGAACCTGCTGAAAAACAGCTGAAATGAGCTAAAAACATGCTGAAATGTTGCTGAAATTGAAAAACAAGCCTAAGTTAGCAGAAGAAAGCAGAAAGAACATGTATTCGCTGAATTAGGTTTAAATAAGCAGAAATGAGCACAAAAATTAGTACATTTGCTAAACAGGCTGAAATTAGCAAAAAAAAAAAAAAAAATAGCTGAAAAGGCCGAAAGAATCTTAAATTACCAGAAGGAAGTGGAGAGAGCACACTTGTGCTCAGTTAGGTTTATAGAAGCAGAAATTACCACAAAAAAGTGAAAATTATCTGAAAAAAGCAGAAATTTGCACCCCCCCCCCAAAAAAAACCCATCTGAATATTAGCTAAAATAAATCAGAAAGAAGCTTAAATTACCAGAAGGAAGAGGAGAGAGCACAATTTTGCTGAATTAAACTGAATTTCTTTGCACAAAACAGCTGAAACCCCCCAGCTGAAAGTAGCTGATCTTTTTATTTGCAGAAGGAAGCTGAAAGCAGCTGAACCAGAACAAAATGTGAATGGAGCAGTAAAAGGTTGTAAACAGATCGAAAGATCTGAAGGACGTAAAATGAGCTCAATTCATATGAGAAAAAAAAAAATGCAGAAAAGGCTAAATATTTCAAAAAGCTAAAGTTGCACCAATACCAAAAAATCAATAATGAGGTTCATTTGGGGCAAACAGTCAAACACACAAACACACAGTATTTACCAGACTCTCTAATCTTTTAGCCACGATAGAAGCGAAACGTCTCTCTCCAGCCAACTCTGAGATGAGGAAGATGTACTCTGGAGCCGTCACCTGATTGGACCGATGAGTTCGACCTGCCAAGACAAAGGAGACGAGCTTCACCAAAGAATGAGAAATGAAGGAAACCATTTATCTGAGGGAACCCTGAATCAGCATTATATTGTTTTCCTGTTTATAGTTTACAGTTTTACTACTGTTCAGGTGTCAAAATGTTTGGTTTGTTCAGGTAAGTACGGCTCTATATTTAGGTATTTGTAACTTTTAAACATTTTGAAATATTTCACTTTACTTTTTTATGGAAATGCATTGACATCTCTTCAAATCCTGAAAAACTTCGGTCTCTTTGAAATCTACAGTACGCTTGTTTTATTTTTAAATCCAAGCTAACATTTAGCTAGTTTTAACTTTTAGCAACTGTTCTGCTAATTGTAGCTTCCAGCTACTGTTTTGCCATTCTCAGCTATTAGCTACTATTTTTCTGGTCTTATTAGTTTGTTTATATTGTTTTTCCTAATTTTAACTTTTCAAACTCTGGCATGAAAGGTGGCTAGCACCTTTTCCACCTCTCCCTTATTATAAATGAGGTCATGGTTAGAGGTGACCTCTATGATGGTATATCATGTTTTAGAGTCGAGGAGGAAATTAAAGCTATTTAAATAAATTTGTGTACCTTTCAGGAAACTAGTTGAAATATAAATGGTGTTATATATGTACATATATATATATGTATATATATATATCAATTTAAATTTGGTATAAAAAATTGTACTGTATATTTATTCTACCAGTTTAGATCACACTAAATGTGTGAATGCTGCACATAGATAAACCTCTTGATGTTAACATCTACCTAACCCCTTTTGATACTTTAACAAGATTTTTTTCTACTTTTACTTTTTAGCTAATGGTTTGCTACTTTTAGCTTTCATTTAGTGTTTCCTTCTTTTATCTTTTAGCTATGTTTTTGCTTCTTTTAGGTTTTAATTAGTGTTTTCTTCTTTTAACCTTTGGCTAAATTTTGGCTTTCTTTAGCTTTTAATTTGTTTTCTTCTTTTAGCCTTTTTTAATCATTGGACATTTTTAGTCTAATGTGCTTTTCATATGTAGACATGCATGTAAAATGAATTAAGATAACACTGATAAATAAAACACTGCACTGGCTTGTCATTCTGTGACATTGTTTGCTTAGTTTGTTGGTCTTTAATAACAAAGACACCTGAGACCGCTGGGTAACACAGAAGGTCAGCTCAATGTTTGTCTGATAAAAGTGATAACCATCAGACAATAACAGAAAATTTTACCTATAAATGCCTTGAAAGGTAAAAAATAAAATAAAATCTGTGCAATTTATTATTTTAATCTAAAATGTTTGTTTTTTTGACAGAAAAACAAATGTCTAGTTCAGTGAACTCCCTTTGAGTGGCCCATTGTAAGGTAACATCTCCTGACGTACCGAACTGCTGAATGGCCCTGTCTGCGCTCCACGGCAGCTCCAGGGTCATGTGGACCCGGCGCTTCTGATTGTTCACTCGTTTGTCTGCCTGCAGGGAAATCCCAGAGCTGGCTGCCTCTGAGATGATGGCCACCAACTGCAGGACAAGCAAGATTAAGGTGCTTTTAGAAACAGCTGCAGCCAGTCAAACCGTCAAACTCAAGCCAGCGTCCATTCCAGCGGACCTTCTCTCCGTTCATAAAGCGGTCCTTCTCTTTGATGTTGATCTGGTCGATCGTGGAGCCCTGCTCAGCCCGCGACTCGTAACGCACGATGCCATCAGGACGTCGCACCACGCGGCCTTTACGTCCTGTCATCTGTGGGGGAACGCACACCAAAACAAGCTGTCACTGCAAGCATATTATCTCTTAAGAAGACTTTCACAGAAAAAACAGTTTTTAATAACAACAAATTAGTGTGAGAGGAGTCTGAACTCATACCTCAGCGACTTTATCTGGCCCTCCAAACTTATCAATGAGCACATCCAACGTGTTGAGAGGTAGTTCTTTTCCTAGTTCTGATATTTTATTCAGGAGGCCCTGCTTCATGTCCTCTATCCTGGCTGTAAGACAAAGCAGAGCAGCATGTTAACTCTATGACCCGTTTCAGAGTGAAACAGATCCGGGCAACAGACTATAAAGTTTTCATCAGCCCAACATGGACGGCTGGAAATAACTTTACACAGCTGTCCTTAGGCGTGTTTTTTTTATTCTCTTTGAAGACCAGGCAGTCTTTGTTCTTCGTACAAGTGTAGAAGTTAGCTATTTGTGGCCTAAAAGGAAACAAAGCCATTGATTTAGGATTAATTTAGTTTTAAATCAAGGAGTTACTGAAAAGCTTTGACAGACCATATACCAGGGTTGTGAAACCAGCTCTGGCTCTGGGCTGATATTAAGCTGCAGGTAGTTTGTTTCACACTGAGAACAGACATGTGCTCAGGTTTTAACAAGACGTCATTATTGTCACAGCAGCTGGAAGCTGGAGGAGAACGTATTTAAACAACTTGTTCTCCTGACGAGCTGCACTGGCAGCACGAGCTCATGTAGGAGTGGGTGGAAAGGTGTCAACACAAACAATGATTCTCAGCTCAGTTAGAAATCTTAACCAGTGATGAATTTATTGTTTTGGACGGTGACTAAGCACCTATTAAGAAAATGGAGGTTAAAGCTTTTAAGCCCCTTCATTCAAATCACAGAAAAACACACAAGTTAAAAAAAGGCAAAACTTTACAAATTATATAAATAAAACATACACCTCCTTATGGAATCCAATTGCCGATGGCTGATATAATCATTATATTCAACCAACTGTCCAACCCTAGTGAGAAACAAAAACTTTGGACTAATGAAACTTCAGAGTAACGACATGAAGGGGAGAACATCCACCTGACTGGCAGCTGGTGTGGTGAACAAAGATGACGTCGTCGTTGTCTTGCAGGGAGTCTGGTGAGGAGTTTGAGTCTGTGTCCATGCCGTCGGAATCGCTGCTGCTGTCGTCGGAGATGTTGATAACGCCGCCGCTGTCCACTGTGTGCTTGGGCACCTTGGATTGACGACCTCTGGGCTTTCCTGATCAGTAGATATGACGAGGGGTTGGAGTGAAAATCCAAAACAGCACAAAAACACTTTTTTAGAATCACTTAAAACAATGACGACATAGTTTAAAATAAAATAAAATACTTATATTAAAACTTTAACTGTTAATAAAGCAGAGTCTATCTATCTAAAGTCTATCTATCTACCGTATCTACCGTATCTATCTACCGTATCTACCGTATCTACCGTATCTATCTACCGGATCTATCGTATCTATCTACCGTATCTACCGTATCTACCGTATCTATCTATCTACCGTATCTATCTATCTACCGTATCTATCTATCTACCGTATCTATCTACCGTATCTATCTACCGTATCTATCTACCGTATCAACCGTATCTATCTATCTATCTATCTATCTATCTATCTATCTATCTATCTATCTATCTATCTATCTATCTACCGTATCTATCTATCTACCGTATCTATCTACCGTATCTATCTATCTACCGTATCTATCTACCGTATCTATCTACCGTATCTACCGTATCTATCTATCTATCTACCTTATCTACCTTATCTACCATATCTACCATATCTACCATATCTACCTATCTACCTATCTACCTATCTACCTATCTATCTATCTATCTATCTATCTATCTATCTATCTATCTATCTATCTATCTATCTACCGTATCTATCTACCGTATCTATCTATCTACCGTATCTATCTACCT